AGCGGCGGTTGCCTCCAACAGGAAGTCGGCACCCTGAAAACTGTAAGTTTTGGGAAGCATTTATATTATTTATCGCCATGTTCATTAATTTGCTTTGTTTTAATTTAGCCTTTATGTTTATAAGGAAGAGGATTTGATGGAGATTATCAATGGCACCGCCATCACTGCCACAGGCGAAGAAGCAGGCTTTCTCTTGCCTGGATTTGACGATCTTGTAATACAAGAATTTGAGGTGACAAGGAAGGACCTGGAAACCACCCCAATTACCACCATGCCTGAGAAACCTGTGATGCAAGAAAGGGCCATGATGGAGCAAGAGATTACAAATCTTAAGGAGTTGGTTTTGTCCCTACATGAGAGGGAGAGGTGTCTTGAGCAACAGTCGTTAGATTACCATGGACTGAAAGGGCAAGAAGCTGTTGTGAGAGAACTTGTGAATCGATTGAAGATTAGTTCGATGGAGGCTAAGTTGTACATGTTAAAGATTGAGTCTTTGCAGGCTGACAACCAGAGGCTACAAGCTCAGCTGGAGGACTATGAGAAAGCAATTAGTGAGCTTGATGTTGCAAGGGAACATATTAAGCTTTTGGATGAGAAGTTGGAATCAGATAGGGACAAGGAAAAAGAGATAATGGTCTCCCTTCACCAGAGAATCAGTTCGTTACAGCAAAGGGAGCAGAAAGATGTGGAGAATGATGCAGAGGTCAAAAGCAAGTTGAAGAAGTTGGAGGAACTGGAACATGAGTCCATGGATCTCAGAATGATCAACTCAAGGTTGGCAGAGGAGAATTCAGACTTGGCGAGGAAGTTGAAATCCACACAAAATACTGCATCTGCAGTTCGTGAGGATGCAAAGGTCTGTCTCGGTTCTTCTTCCTTTTGAGTAGACTGCTACAAAACCATTGCTTATTTTGCTTCATCAAACCCGCTAATTGTTCATGGATTAACATACCGTAAAAACATATTCAAGTAACTGTTGTCAACTGCTGTAACTAGATGGTTTTGTATTCTTATATAATCCAAATTTGTCTCATGTTCCTTCTCCTATTGACCTGTTCAAACCCTTCATCTGTTGCCATTGTTTGAGCATCATGTTGGCATGCACTATGATGCTTCTGCTGCTAATTATTTACTTGCACATGTTGATAGCATAAACCAATTGTAATTCACTGCAGGCAGAAGCATTGGAGGAAGCCAACCGCTTCAGGAAGGTGAATGAAAAATTGATAGAGGAGATTGAACAGCTCCAAATTGATCGGTGCACTGATGTTGAGGAGCTGGTGTATCTTCGATGGGTAAATGCTTGCTTAAGGTACGAGCTGAAGAATCACCAGCCACCTTCAGAAGAAACACTTGCAAGAGATCTTAGCAAGAGTTTGAGTGTTAAATCCAAAATGAAGGCCAAACAACTTATACTGGAATATGCCAATTTGGGTGCTGATGAAAAAAGTTCGAATTATTTTGAAGTCAACTCAAATTATTCTTCTTCTTCACAAGCATCTGCCGGAGAACCTGAAGATACGTCAATTGACAACTCATCCTTGGTAAAACATGGTAGTTCAAATAAAGCAAAGTTTCTTAACAAACTTAAGAAGCTAGTGTTAGGAAAAGGCAAGCACAGCAAGAAAGTTTCAGCCGTAGATACAAGCTCTGGAAGTTCCGAAAGAAGAGCATCTTTCTCGACCTGTTCTTTTGACGATGTCATTGGAATGGATTCATATGATAGCTCATCATCATGCATGATAGAGAAAGTGGCTGCAGTGAATTCATTGGCAGGAACAGAAGCACAAACAGTTGAAGGACAATGTAATAAAGATGTTTTCTCTCAAGATAACTCTAGGCTCTCTTTAGACATTCAAAGGTTGCAGGAGCTTGATCTGGAAGAAGAAATGGAGGAAAAAGGCCTGCTTCGTAGAAGGGATTGTGCAACATCTTGTGATTATATGAAAATATCCTTTTTAGAACATTCATTAATCAGTTGTGAAAGGAATCCTCTTGATCAAGAAAAAGCTTACATTCCTGAGAAAGTTGAGCTGAAAAAGTATGCAGATGCTTTGAGAAGTTCAAGAGGGATACCCAAATTAAATAGAAGATCAGCATCTTCTAGATATTGATGCCAATATATTTCATCACGGAGTATTAGTTGTCCAAACACAGCTGAAGTATCTGGATCCCAGCAGAGTAGATGCTTGTGTTTTGCCAGTAAAATATTGAAATCATGAATACAAATGTTGTCAAATTTGTAGATTTCTTTCTACAATGAAATCTGAGACTCTTATATGCATACAATTGCATTTTTTACCTTTATTGCCAATGCAGTTGTTACTCATTTGGGCTTGTTGATTGATAATCTGTGGCTCTAAGATGGATTCAGTTCCGTCCTTCTACGGAATCAGACTAGCTTTCGAGAATATGTATGTGATATTGAGACCAGTTAGATGAATGCTTATTTTGGGCACTTTAGGTACTCCTAGGTATCATTTCTGTAAAATTCTTAGATGCATTTTCTTCTTTCAGTTCCACAATCGTTGATCACAAATACAATTTATATGCATCAAATATCATTCAATTGCAGCAGAGATTTACTGGTTTGGAGGATTGTTTGGACAACTTGACTTGGCCTGGCTGCTAAGACAGTTATTTTTCTCATGTTTTCCTGTGAATTATGAAGGATATATCCAGGACAGAGAAGTAGTTTGAAACCAAATCAAGAGAGTTAATGATTAATACATAATAGTTTACCTATTTATGATAGTATAGTGATGAATGTCTTCCAAAATTTTCTATTACTGTCATATATTGCAGAAGAAACTTTAAATATCTAACCAAAGCAGTAGAATGGTTCTTCTGTCCAGTACCATATATTTTAAGATTCCCTAAGCTTTCTAGTTATTGAAAAGGCAATCATATGCATCTTGCTTGTGGACTTTGAAACCCTTACAGTTGGGAAATAATGCTTGTAACTTCTGAGAGAAGTTACAAAAGAAATTGGGATACTATGGTACTGTAATATGGCTGTACCATATGTTAGTATGCATTTTATTTATATTAATCATGATTATGTTAAGCGTTACACTGAATGGCTTCTTTGCTAATATCCAAATTCACCACTGTTGGTTTTTTCACTTTAGAACCAAGAGGCACTATGCTGCACCTTTTCATTGAGTTCTAGGTTGTTGTAAGTTGTAATTGGCAGTTTAACTGCCACCCCTTTTTTAAATGCTGAATGATACTTTAGCATCTGCTTCTAGTGAACTTATATTATATCTATTAAATGGAAGATGGTTCTCTTTTAGCAAGTTCTCTTTTTTTGGCTTTTAGCTAGTTCTCTTTTTTTGGTATATTTTGTGCTGATGATATTGATGTACTGTATGCACAATAAGAAACTGATGCATTACAGGTTCTCTGTTTAAATTGTTAACATTCTGGTGCTTGATGCAATGACTTGCTATGGAGGTTGAGGAGCATTATATTTCACATGTTTCATTTTCCCCATATTTCAATTTCCAGACTCTAAGATTATATTTCACCTTATACAAAAGATTAGTTGTAGAATATGATCTGTGGCTAGGCCTAGTGGTTAGCATCCCTCTTCATTTCAGAAAGAGATTCTGGATTTAAATCCTTGTGTAAGTTGTAGCCAGATATTTGACCTAAGTAATTCTCTTAAGCAAGGAATCAACCCTATTATCTCAATTTCCAAAATCACTTTAGTTACCAGGAACAGTGACAAGATTTGGAGTTATGTAAAGTTGAAGCAGAATGACTGGTCAAAGGGATTTATTCACTATTATATCACAATCATAAGGAAAAACTGTGTAGCTATTGTGTACCTCAATGAGAGATCAGTGGTTGTGTATGATACTATGACAGCACAAGTTGGAGAAGCACAAGATATGGAATAAGGAATAGAGAGAGAGATAGAGAGAGAGAGAGAGAGAGACTTGGCATAAACTATACAAGGCTTACTCATATGACCAAAAAGCCTACCTCTATTTCCACCCTCATTCTGACTTTCAGCTACAAGAACAAATTCCCTCATCTAGTGAGTAATGATAGATTTATGAAAATAGCATCAACTACAGATTGAGTTTAGAAGTTTAGAGTCAGTATATTATAATTTATACTACACCTGGGATATGTTTAAAGATATAATAGAATCAGAAATGAGCATAAATGGGACAAATTGATATCTTAAAATGAGACAATTAGCAGAGATTCTCCAAGCAGCTAAAATAAGGGCTTTTAAATCTTTATACATCAGCTTCACCTCCACATTGCAAAAGAAAACATGCAAAAGAATTTTTATTGGTGAAAACCTTCTTCTTGCCTGCCTCCCAGGATGACAGTAGATAGATAAATGACTTGGAGACCAGCTGGTCAGCCACTACCAGAATTTCTGAGCCACAACAAGGACATCAATTAACATCTTCTTGGAGGGACAGAGAAAAGAAACCAAGTCGCATGGATTCCTTGAAAGCTACTGACCATCCATCCCACTCCAACAAATTATGTTGCCTCAAGAAAATTTTCATTTTTCAAGGAGTAGAAAAGAGCCATGGGACCCTTCTGTTCTTTGTCTATCATCATTGAACTGCCTGCTGATCTCTGAACTACTCAACCACCAAAAGAGAACCACTGTTTGGTTTGGTGTATCGGAGCATAGTTAATATTTCATTTAATTAGTCCTTTAGAGGATAGTTAGGCTACTGACCACCCACCCCACCAAAACCATGTGGTGTTCAAGTCTCATAGTTCTTTGAAGGCTTCTGTATGATGCATATAGGACTGCTACACTACAAAATAATTTTCAAACAGGTCAATTCTATATCTTGATATATCAACTTTGTCAATGCCATTAGAATTGTCTCTTCAAAGGATTATTATTCTTACAAGCTTACCTGTATAGCAAACAGGCAGCACATCTCAAGCAATATCTTCATAGTTTATGGTTTTGAAGCACAAGCATGTAACAAACATCCATCGGGCATCAGTATTCATTGCACATTGAAAGATAAAGGTAGTATATCATGAATCATAGTCCTTACAAGCTTAAGTAGTATAAAAGCAATGCTTGGTTATTGCAATAACAAGACCAACCATTCAACTCTGTAGACATTTAAATCTGACCCCTTACAGAATATAAACCGACAGTTTGCTACCACCAATTCTTAGATGTCCACACATGGACTCAAACATTATATTCAGAGTCTCATGTGCAGTATAATGCTTAATGCTACCGATATTACTATTGACAAGCCATGTTGAACATGCTAATATAGGTACACTTGCTGAAACTTAACCAGGCAATACCTTCTTTGTCAGTGGCTGCAGTTCCTGCATCTCCACTGATCACAATAACTCATGAAACTTTGTTTTATGGATGACATAGAAGAATACTATCTTATCTTATTTATTTTAACTTAATCACCCCTCTACAGCTATTATCTGCAGATAGCTTCAGCAACAAGCCTGTTCATATGGCTGTTCTTTTTACCAGGTTGATGCCTGTTGGATTACCACCCCACTCTTCAAACACAACCACAAGGTTTCCAGTTGGATTTAGCCAGGAGCGAGGAACATGATACCTGAGATTGAAATCACTATTCAGTCATTTACTTTATTTTGCATAATTTTAGATGTTCATAAACCGGCTACTTGATCAGGTAGAGAAGAATGCCGATCTCTTACCATTTTTGTGAAGACTCTCCACATTTAGTTTGGCATTTCTTCTCACTGTATGTGCCATGGTAATCACAACCACCACAAGAACCATATGCTTTGTAGGCAGGCCAGTAGCGACCGATGCTCTGTCCATTGATCCATGCTTCACCTTTACCCATGCTACTCATATCTAATGCCAATGGCTCATTCCCAGCTGGAGCATTGAAGAAAGCCTGGAAGATGACAAAGATTAACACAATGTTAATCAAGAAGAAGCTGATGACAGGAAAATGCACTTTAGGAGATTATCTTTCCGCATTGCAAGTTCGTCTGTGGTCTGCGGTCTGCGGTACACTAACCTTGTACCAAGTCAAGGGCTGATTTATAGATGCACCTCCCCACTCAACTGAAGAACTGCCACTAATTGTGTGAAGATTCAAAGATTCACCTCTCAGACCAATCTGCAAACACACACACACACATGAAACTTGCTAACTTGCAAGTCCTAGGAAGAAACTAAGTTGTGCACATTCGAAAAACCTGGTAAGTCCATTTCTGAGATGTAAGATCTATCCTTCCTTCATTAAGACCTTCCAGTGTCACTGGACCAAGAACACCAACATTCCATGTCTCAAAATGATTACCAACATTCTGAAACAAATCAGAAAGAGACAAAATAAGATAACCAGATTTTCTGCAATGAGATTTGCTATAGACAAGATGAAAAGGTTTCATTCATGTCCCCACAAAACATCATGTATATTGTTATAGAACTTGAGAAATGGTTAGTTATCATATTCTTTTTATGTTATATGTTTGAAAATTAAACTTTGTGGAAAATCTGAAATTCTGGTACTCCATGAAAATTTTCCAAACAAATGTGTACTCACAGGTAGTCCAACAGCTACACTTAGAATTGAGATTTTGTTGCTTCCTGCCCATAATTTCACATTTCCTGTATAAGTCAGTTTCGGGCTGTCTAAACCGCCATAGACAGTTCCTGCCAAACATGGAATTTAAGTGAATTATTGGAGCCACATCGAATATTAGGCATATTTTCAAATATAATTATCCATAAGCCAAAGCTACTAACCAGCCTTCTGTCCATTGATGAAAACATGCATAGCATGACCTGCAGACATCACAGTAAGAACAGGGTTCTGGCCATTCTTCAAAAAATTCTCATTTCGGCCAATGTCAATGCTGCAAACAGAAAAAAGTGAGGTATTAACTTCTGGAGGTTAGTGATTTTAATATAACTAACAGCGAGTGAAAGTCACAAATGTAATGAGTTAGCTACTCACGATGTAGTGTACCACAGGTAGTCTGTCCGGTCCCATGTCATGCTTATCTGTTCCACTAACCCATTTTTCGTGAATGAGTTATCATCTAATGAATTGGTCTCTTCACTGAAGGACGTCCAAGAAAACTTGCCAACCGGTGACATTTTCACCTGTGATGTCTGAGCTCCTACCTGTATCATAATTTGTATACTGGTGTTCAGAATTCTTGAGATTGCAACCATGGGAGTATTCTTTTTAATTCTAATATTAAAAGAGAAACCAAGGACTCTTACAACCAAAACTTAAAACTAATAGAATAAACTTTTGGATGCCTTGAAAGAATTAGCGAGTATAAAATTCTTTCAAACCAAGAAATGAATAACTCAGAATAGAGAGGTGAGTTGGTGGTGCAAAAACAAGAATAGAATGTGAAGGCAACCATGAACAACAATAAATATCAGAAATTTCTCACCCTTGCAGTGTTGAATACTGCAGTTTTGCAGTCAGGAAGGATACTGATGGACCAAGGTGGAATATCATATTTCTTTCCATTGTAAGTAACTATTGCAGATGATTTTGGGTTGTAGTTAGAGAGGAATGCAGCACAAGCACCGGACTTTGATTTGAAGACATGTGCCTGGAAGTAATTGAATATAGAATTAGTTCCAATGTCCAAAAATTGGAAATACTTCTGCTAGTTGTACAGCAACACATAAGAGATGAACCTGCTCATAATTTCCAAGTTTTGTCACAGTGGCATCTGCTGATACAAGAGCTGGTTCACACATCTTGATAGCTTTATGCATGTCCCTCAGATGACCCCATTTTGGTTTCCTTAGGAGACCTGGTAAAGAGTACAAAAATTGGTAAACATTAGCCAAAGGAAATTAAAATTGGGCATCAAACTGAGCTCTATTGCATATATTCGGTCGCATGATCTGGCTTTTTGAGGACTTCAAAGAATGAGAGTGTCAGATCCGAAAGAAGATATTTTTGTGATACAATTGCAGGGTCATAACGTTAAAAGTGTTTGACCAAGAAGTGAAGTATACAATACAATAGCATCCTTTGGTAAGACTTTTTTGCATTGAATCACAAGCATGTTAAGCTCTAACAATGTACACCATATGGTTGGTAGATGATTCAGTCAACTACAAATTTTTTTCCACATCAAATGCAAGAGCTCAAATACAGGCATATTTGTCATAAGACAACTATATTGTAAAAATATCACTACCAGGAGCGAAGCTACATACCATATTCATCAATTGGAGCATCATAGTCATAGCTTGTTGAAATAAATGGACCACCAGCAGTCCTACCAAAGTTTGTTCCTCCATGGTACTGGAGTTGACAGAAACATGAAAATGCTTATATTCAGAGACTATGTAGAAATTTTATTAATTACTGAGAGAAATGTGGATTAAAATATCCAACTTCTCACCATATAGTAGTTAACGAAGGATCCACCTTTCTGTATAAACCTTGCAACCGCAAAAGCTAAGTCCTCAACAGGCCTTTCAGGAACTGGCCCTCCGAAAGCAGTGTACCTGTTTTCACAATTAGATCGAATAAATACACTAAGCTGTAGATTGACTGACTTCTTGCAAAATACATATGTGTACAAATATAACAAAGAGTCGAGCTGAACTAATTGTCCAAGGGAAAAGTTACCAGGCAGTCCAAGCTTCTGTCCACATAGTAGGCTTATATGGCTTGTTTGGTGAGAAATCATCACAGTAGAAACCATTACAGGTATTGATCTGTAAATTTAAAATCCAAGAATAAGATTACAGGAAGAGATATACATATACATATAAATATATATATATGTTATATGTTAAAGTAGTTTCATTGCATCACAAATTATTCCCTAACACATAAGCTTGGACCTCAACAAGAACATAGGAAAACTGTTGGTGTAACAAAGTGATTTAGTTGGTGTAATCAGGTATTACATATGCTTACGCAATTTCAGTTGGTATATAAAATCAAAGAAAGTAAAGTTGAATGTGACAGGGTAACAAGGAATATGAATCTAGTTTTCTCCTCGATGTGACAAATCATGAGAATCGAAAGCTCAAGGCATGTGCATTGGGGCCTCACTGCTTGCAACCTATTCGAGTTGATGCAAAGTGCACCAAACATGAAAATTCAATGAATGAACAACATCTCCTTTAGAACTTACAACTGGATCAGGAGCATCATCTTGTTTGCACATGACCCAGGGCACGCCGGTATTGAGGCCAACTGCCATGTGAGCAGCCCAGCTTGCGTAATTCTTCGCTACACCACCACCGTAATAATCCTCAAGTGGACCATATTCATTTTCGATCTGCTCAAATCAGGCACAAAACATGGAAGAACAGGAAAATGCATTAGAAGAGAAGTACAATACTTTATGTCGATTTCTCCTGTTTGTCTGGTTACATTGGCTAACAAACCAATGCAACAAAATCGAAAATGGTTCAATGCTACCTGAGAGAGGATTATGGGGCCACCCTGTGATTCGAATAATCCTTCAGACTTCATCACGGAGACAATCTTTTCTGTGAATTTTGACATTGCCGCCTTGTAGATGAACAAAGCACTGACTCAGTTCTTTGAGATCAAGCAAAGGTGGAAAGAATACATCTTTAGAACTATATGAAAAAGAAAGAATTTTTAATTTTTGAAAATTTTACCTTGAAAGGTTCATTGTCAGTCCGGAAGCTGATACCAGGAACATATTTTAGCCAGACAGGAAATCCCCTGTTTCCCCAAAGAGAAGATAAACAACAAAACCGTCAGATCGGAAGTGAAGGCATTTGATTCCGCTTCTTCTTTCACGGCCGTGGATAAGAAGCTTACCCAAAATTCCATTCGGCACAAACGTATGGACCAATTCGGAGATGAACGTAGAGTCCGGCCTGCTTCACCAGCTTGACGAAGCGAACTAAGTCGTAGTTCCCTCCAAAATAGTACTGTCACCAATCAAGGAAAGATCATACAAATCTAAGGTAAATTTACCGGAAACAATTAAGGCTGTTCCATTTATACTGCGAAAAAGCAGCAGACACTGAGAAGAGAGAGATGGGGAAGGTTCAATAAGCTGCAAACCTGGCCAGGGGAGGGTTCGTGCCCATTCCAGAACACATAGGTCTGGATTACGTCCAAGCCGCCATCTTTGGCCTTCTGGATAAGATCTGGCCACATCTGGAGGCGATCCGGGGAATAAAAATCAGAGCTTTGCGCAATAAAACAGTGAAAGGCCAGCAAATAAAGGAACCAAGGAGCCACATTTCCCACAAGGGGGGAATCCGTACCTCCGGAGTGCTCCTGGGGTAGTGAATGGAACCGGAGATGAGGATTCTGCGCCTTCCGTTGATTATGAGGGCCTTGCGGTCGTAGGAAACTGAGGCATCGACTGGAGTGACGAGCCACGGCGACGACAACATTACCGCTGCCGCCACCGCCAGTAGCAGCAGCAGCGCCGACCGTCCTTGGCCGCGTCCCACCGGTATAGGCTCGACGCCCATGATGGCCGATGAGTATTCTTGGCTTCCAAAGACTCCCCTTTTAAATAGAAAGAGACAATGAGTGGAGAATTCTAGGAAATGATATTTTTGTATCTACAATATTTTGCCGCCTTCTTTTCTTTGCTTTATCTTTTATGCTATTCTTTTCTTCCCTATGCTGCTCTCCATCTTCTTCTAAACTAGAGAAGAGTTGATGAAACTATTGACTAATGGCAGCACAAATACGGAGACAGAAAGAAGGAGAGGGAAAGAAAAGACTGGGGAAGCGTGGAGTGTGAGCTGGGGATGCCACTGAGGTTTAATACCGGAGGGGTGAGAGTGAGCTGAGGATTGGCGACGAAAGGTGGGTCCCATAGCCCCACAATGACATGGAGGCTTCATTCCACCACTCATGTTCTTCTCTATGGAGAAGTCCCATGAAGCTCTCTGAACCAGCCAACAGGACACTCATGAGCAGAGAAGCAATAGCTTGTTCTCTTGCTCTGTTTCCTTGTGACTTTTGATTAGCAATGTGCAAGAGATGGCATCAAGATATTGAGAAAGAAGTTGCTATATAAATCTGCTGATCTTGAGACTGTAAGCTGCCAAATCCCATCCAAAAAGGAGGAAAATAACTGCATGTTACTGACTAGTGTACAGATTAAACAGAGACAGTTCAAACACTAGAAAAAACTGCGCACTGAATGAGGAGGCAATGCATGAGTTGTTGAGTAGGAAAATTAACCTTTGTCACTAATCACTGAGATTATATACACAAGAATTGGTGCATAAATGGAGAAACAGGAAGTTTCCATAGTTTTTATATCTGATTCACTCTTGGATTGACTGAACAGAGCCTTTTTATGTTGATGCTTTAGAACTCTGGATCAATATTTTCTTTATCAGTATGTTTTATAAGAGCTTCAGCATTAATCTGTTAATTTTTATTTGGGTAACTCAAGTAGCTGTCTTATCCTGTGATTCACACATCTTGGTTTGATGCTCATTGCTGCAAGCTTTGGTCATCAGTCACTTCAAAAGGATTACAGCTCGTTTGGCACAACTCTAGCTTTGCCTGTATGTAAAGCAGGCATCAAATGTGTTGAAGAAGACATTGCACCAACTCAAACAAGAATCAAACTTGCTAGGCTACAAAATATTGTAGGTCTCCTGTCTGTATGGTATCAGTTTCCTGCTAATATAATCTTGTGTGGTTCATTGTTTCAATGTACATGGCATCGGCATCAGACTTTGGAGTGATTGTCTTATTTTGGTCTTTTTCTATTTATGCATACAAAATGAGGTATCAAACTCATCAGTATACTCATTGTCTTAGACTCCTAAGACACAAAAGGGTACAACAGCTGCTAATCATATCAACAACTTATTAAGACCATCCCCTTGTGATCTTTCATATTAACACCAGCAAAAGCTAGGTGAATTGGTTGTAGTTTAATTCATCAATAAACACTTGGACTATCCATTATGCTAGCTTCTACATCTAATGATGGTGTGAAATCAAGGTAGCTAATTCTGTGAGATATCTACCTACTTGGGTGACCAAACTTGATTTTTAATCATACCTACTTTGTCATGCTGTAAAACTAGATGCTAAAATCTAAATAGACTTGCAGAAACACCCAATAATCTTCTCTTTTCTTCTTTCTTGTGGACCCTTTCCTCATGCATTGTACATGCATATTTGTTGCATCTTTATAGAGCTCCTAGTCCTTCATATTCCTCAGTTGTTGAGTCCATATTGTTAGGAAGGAGGGTAGCTCAGCATAAATCACAGGTCCCACTGCAGCAACACTTGCAAAAGTGGTGCTCCCTCACCTCCCTCTGTGGGGATACCATAACAACTCAATCAACACATGTGATGCTACAAATCATGCATCTTAATGTGGTCATACTACCTAATTTTCCAAAGATCGAAGACTTATTTATGCCATGATCAATAATAGGAGCTTCCTTGAGACAGCTGCCTCAACTACCATAATATTTAAACCTTTGTTTCTTTTGAGTCCATCAATTGAAGCACTACTAGATTCTTAGTTGTCTTCCTACTGATGCCTTCCAAAAGCCAAGTAATATAGAGTTTTGGCAGTAAGATAAAAACTAGAATGATTAACTATCTTACATTTGCTAACAATTTTCATTGAGATTGGTTTTCTCATTTCAGAAGAGTTAATTTAGTAAACTGAACACTGGGCTGTGGACCATTCAAGGAAAAAGCATTGGTTGATGTGGCCAAGATAATTGGATGCTTAGGCATGCCTGTCAGTGCAAATTGATATACTCTAGATACACTGAGATACAAGAGAGAGATTGAGGGAATCCCATTTCAAGGACAAGAGAAGAATAGGGTGAGAAGAAGACTACAAAAAAGTGGTCCATTTTGCTCTTTGTTTTAAGCTAGATGGAAGGCATTGTTGGTGTCACTTTCCTGTTATTGTTGAAGTACTCTGATAGGAGACTTCCCTCCATCCCCATACTCCTCTTTCACTTTTTATATATCCAGTAGGCAGCAAAAAGCACAATGAATTATCTTACTGGAAATTTGATAAAAGGTTTTTTGGGGAGTAATAAAACCCATTAATTTAGGAAGCACTTGATAGAATTTCACATGAACTATAGCAGTGTTCTGTACAGTGAAAACTATTAAGGGTCCATATTAAGATGCAGATGATGCTACCATGCAATTAGTTATGCCAGTAAAGCTAACTTTTAGGTTCAGAGGAAGAACTATGGCTAAATGAAGTATAAAATGTTGACAAGATATTTTAATTTATCTGTTAAGAAAGTGAAAACAAATGAAACATTAGGTTATCTATGAAGATCATTCTACAACAGAAGAAAAGAGAAAGGAACAAAGAGGTCAATAGCAACTCAGCAAAGAGCTACTAATTCCCTTTGCCGACCTCTGTCGTCTGGTCCCAATGTTTCTTGTATTATTCTAAACCTCTCAAAATGCCTGGCACACTATAATTATTCAATGAAAACGTTCTTGTGTCTGTGGAATATCTAATGCATCTGACGTTATTAGGAAGGTTAAATTACCCAGAATTGATTAGTATGGGTAAAAGAAGAAGTGGTAAAGCAAGAGGTGATTCTTATTCTGAACCTGCTGGTTTCCTAGCAGCTTATTGCCTCCATATAAGTTTTGATCACAAAAGCATCATTTACAGTTCATGGGAATGATTCTTCTTCTCTTTGATAAGAAGAAGAAGATATGAAATATTTTCTTATCAACAGAAACAGAATTCAAAAAGTGAGCTTTTTTCTTATCAACATAAACATAATTCAGAAAGTAAGCTCTTCTAAGATACTTTAGTGAGCTTCTGTGTGCCTATCTAATTTTTCGATAGAGGCAACCATGTGTTGTCAAATGTGAACCACCAAATGCATCTTGTCATCAATTCCTATCTCATTCGATCAAGTGAAGGTGCAAGTTTGAGCAGCAATAACACAATCTTGTTTGCACCATTACACCTCCACCTTCTCAAGACTAGCACAAAGCTCCTGTGGATATTTCTTGAGCTGTAGACCACTGATCTGTTCAGATCTAAAGACCCTCACAGAATGCGGCATATTAGCCTCACCACACCTCACAAAGTTCAGGACCTTGACAGATCTTGTCCATCAAGCCAGTCTAACCTTCTTTCTCATGAACATACCCCTTCTTGCTATATATCCAAAAAGAAATTGAAAGAAAAGGAGAAGAACCATGAGTGAACACACCATTGCAGTTTGTTGATGCTTGTTTACCATATATTTCAGATGCAATGCAAGCAAATCCATGTACATCTACATATCTTCCAGTCCCAGTCATCACCACACTCATGGTTATCTGTGTCTTTCAAGAACTAACTGTTATTAGTATCTTACCACCTCATTAAATCTCTGAAACTGATTTTGATACTTACAGTTATATTGTCTTGAAACCGAAAAGATTGACCTGATTGCTTCCATCTATTGATCTCATCTTGAATTGTATGTTACATTAAAAGGAATGATTCTAGCATTCCTTCAGTTCAGCATCCAAATAAAGGATAAAAGACATGTAGTTCAGCAAGGAATTGTAGCAATCTTTTGTTAGATATCTATATCTACTCATTAAATGTGAGTCAGCTGTCCATTGGAAGGTTCAACCACCAGACCTTAGACATCGTATGCATCCAAGTTTACATGTTTTAGATCTGTGAAAGAAGCCATGACCTTTTCTTACTGAAATAGCTTGACTGCATGCCACAAAGATCATGCACTGAATTAGCGCGCTCGGTTATCAGGAAATCATCAGTTGTGTTCCTGACAACAACAAGGTAACATGGAACATATTAGGATAAGATGAATGGCTTGGCCATGACCATAGATGGCTGAGTGGCCCATGGCTGACCTTGCGGTCGATGAAACAGTATCATGTTCATCGGGATAGACACAGGAAGTCACCACCAAACATGGCTATCAAGAATAACTGATGAAGACACGGATGGCTTCTAATGCAGAGCACTGATGCTGAAAACTTTGGCCTGAATGAGTAGATCCATCCTTTCATATTAGCAGATTGATGAGGGCAAGTGCATCTTTATTCTTATGTATGTAGGGCAATATCAGTTTCCCAATTCACAGTCACAAAGAATGATGTTCTTATGCATCTTTGATAGCAGACAGCCACCAACTTCACTGCTCTCTCTGTTCTCTCTAATTCTCCATCAGTACACTATTACAAGATATATGTGACTTCAAACTAGTGATAGCTTAGTGTTATGGTCCCAAGCCAGACATGATAGAAGCCTTTCGCTGGCCATTGTGGCATTGAGATAAGGTCTGTATGAAGGGAAAGACTTCCTACTCTTTCTTCAGAGGAAAAAGATAAGATAATGTAAGAGCTCTATCAAGAAGGAGAAGAAGAAGAAGAGGAAATTGAACGCCAAGTGATGCAAGGTGTAGCCACCCTTTTCCTTATCCTTTCATCGTTTGAATTAGCCATACATGCAACCATCTTCTTGAGCCATAACAGCTGTTTCAGAAGTTTCATGGAGGTGTCAGCCTCATCTTGCAAGAGGATCTTTCCCTTGTACGTTGAACTATATATGATTGAGCAACAGCTCAGAGTCTGGTATTTATCACAAAGGAGAATGATTCGGCTGTGTTAGGTTTGAAGAGCATTGAACATCTCATACTCGTGATTGTTGAGAGGTAATAGCAATAATGCATGAATCGATCAATAATAATCTCAAACAGAGAGACTGATATGCCAGTAAGCCTCGGTTTAAATAACAGATACTGAAGCTTCAGAGCATTGAGCTCAGTATTCTTCATCAAGGAAATAGAGAACCCATTCCATTAATGAATTTGTTAGATCAAAGCAAGTAGTCAAAGAGCAGGTGATGATATCCTGTCATAACCTTTGGTCCTAACGCTTGCATGAACAAATCAAAGCCCTCTGCTTTCTCAACGAAGACCTGAGCATCCAAATTCCACAAAGATTTGGTCAGAAACAAATCTACCCAAAATCTGAGGAAATCTAACAAAGATTTTAAGTATTGACTCAGCAATATAATTTAGTCCAGAACACCCCAATTTCAATATGAGCAAGAGAACCATGTGGTGCAGAATCATGATCCATCTAAGATTGTATCAGCTCATCATAAATCTCCTCAAATCCCTGTGGCATTTCATGATCATAAAACAATTGGTTCATCAAAAGATTTGTCCAAGTGCTATACAACTGTTACTAATAAAAGCTTAAGCCAATGGATGAAACATGTGTAACATGAAAAGGAATAGCAAGTGAATGAGGACATGAGGAATCATATCTTGGGGAGATACCACAGACCCCAAGAGAAATAAAGAAACATGTCATCTGATGGCAGCACTGCAAGTGACCCCATGCATGTTTTGAGCTGAAAACAAGCAATTGGGAAAGTACAAGCTTTTGCCTTTCCCCAACTGTTAAAAGAGCACAGAAGACTTTTTCCTTGCTCACCGCAAGTGAGATCTCACATGAACAGGAGAAGCACATCCATGAAAATGAGGCATCAATCTAGGAGAGGCTGCTCAGAGTTTGACAGAGTCTCAATCTTTGTCTTCTTAATGATATTATATGTATACACATCCAAATTTTTGCTTTTGAGTGACAAATTTTAGCTTTTGGTGATATTTTCTTTGTATATAATTATATATATTTTCCATATTGGTCCAAACTCTAGTAACTCAAATCATTAGAAAAAGAAGACAAACAAGGATTGTCCTCTTATTGATCAAATTATGAAGTATAAGATTTGTCATCATTACAGTCTATGGTCAAAACTACAAAAACACCAACACAAAATAGTAGGAAGATGTGATGCAATGGGGTGGTTCTAATTTAGCCTCAATCTACAAACAATTAAACACAACTTGCACTGACAAATGCAATGCAACCTAATTTAGGAGTAAAAGGAAGGAAGCAACCAAACATGCTTGATATTATTTTCTAGTACTGATTTAAGATGATTTGCAACTTTAAACCTACCAAATCACAATTGATGTTTAGGGTTGGCTACTTATTTTACCTCTAACAACATTAAAATACACATAGGTACCATCCTACCCAAACAAAAAATAATTATTTTCTATCATCTTATAAAATCCTTATCGACTAAGCCAGCTAATATTGCAATGATCTAACTTTACTACTTGGCATTCTTAAAATTTTCTATGATAATTGTCAATAATATAAGATAGATGAGTCAGAGGCATTACCATCAGAATAATATTAGTAATATCAGTATTGTCTTAACTCAATCTAATCTACTCAAATTGAATCAGTGCACTGCTGGTTTGAATTGAAATTGGCATCCCTATTGATACATTTTAAATCAATAAATGTGAAGCGTGGTATGAGAGAGATGGGGTAGGATAGCTCATAATTGCGTGGGCTCAAGTTCTACAATATAAGATCTCATCTATTTTAGACCCTCGAATCCTGTTATTTTCTCCTTCACGCTTCTCCTTCCACTCTCTAAGTCTTATTCTATGAAGCCATAATTGTACTATATATATGTATATGTTTCCAATGTATGTTTTCATTTATGTTATAAACTGAAATTTGTTCTGATTTGAGCTTCATTATTCAATGTGGCATACAAATATTTCAATTTTTTTGAGTTGTTTTTGGTGTTAAATTTTGTGTTTTTTTTTTCTTTGGATAATCCTACTTGGTTTTACTGGGCATTTTTTTTTATATTTCATAAATGAAAAAGAGTGAGTTCTAAATTTTTTTCAAAAAAATATAATTTCATAGATAACCTTATAAATATTATTTTTTACCTATGCACCCATTATGTTTGTTTTAACAAAAGATAAGTGACCAAGGTATTCATATTCATAATCTTACGATAAACTGTTAAAATCTTTATTGGCTGAATTAGTTAATTCCTTCTTACATAATTGGTTAAAAGATTATAATTTTATTATTTAATAATAAAATTTTAAAACATCATAGTAAAATGATGTCTGAAGTTTTAATTTGCTTGAAAATTTTCTTGCATATCATTGATTATTATTAGGTTAAGGTAATGGATGGTTTATATACTTTTTGTTAATATTACTAAAATTTTCGAAATCCCTGTATCGACATCGAGTGCTCATTATCTCAATATAATCCATATACATAAAAAGTAATTTTTTTAAAAAATAATTTAGTCAAATTTCATTCATCAAACTGATAATTCAATAAAAAAAATAAATTTAAAATAAATATTAATCATTATGACATCATTAAACTATAAGATATCAATTTAGGGCTCGATTCCAAGTTCTAGAAAGATCCCCACCATATGTCTCCCAACACGAAACCTCGTATATATCGTCCATGAAATCTAGCAGATCATCCGAATGGGACATCGCGATCCTATTCCGAGATTTTGTTGACTCATCATCGAGAAATCCTATCTTCTCGAGTGAGCCAACAGTTGCACTATGCACTTTAAGTACCTCACCTATCTCTTCCCTTCTCCACACTCTTCCATCCAATTCCAATCCATGAGCAAAATGGCGCTGCGAAGACTTGGCCTCATGTCATCAACCTTCCTTGTGATGGCTCTCTCTTTCGTAATTAGCTTCCTCTCTTTACTTGGCCAGCTCAGGCCATGGCCTGCCACCCTTCCTCAGGGCCTCCTCTCCCTCGACATCGCCGACGAGCTCCATTATGGTCCCAACGCCACCGCCCGGTTCTCCATCGACTATGGCCGCCTCACCGAAGCGGCACCTGCGGCCGTGCTCTACCCGTCGTCTCCCGACGACATCGCCTCCCTCGTCCGGTTCTCCTACGCCTCCCCCCGGCCCTTCGTTATAGCCGCCCGAGGCCACGGCCACTCGATCAGGGGCCAGGCCTTTGCCCCTGGTGGCGTGGTGGTAGACATGGCATCGCTAGGCGGCGGCCGCAGGGCCCGCCGCCGCGACCGGATCAAAGTGCCGCTTGACGACGTGCACCGGCTCCTGTACGTCGATGCTGGAGGCGAGCAGCTCTGGATCGACGTCCTGCGTGAGACGCTCGAGCATGGCGTTGCACCCCGCTCGTGGACTGATTACCTCTACCTGACTGTCGGCGGCACGCTCTCGAACGCCGGCATAAGCGGCCAGGCCTTCCGGCACGGCCCGCAGATCTCCAACGTTCATGAACTCGATGTCATCACCGGTACCTCGCACCTCTACGCATTCACGAATTACTCTGACCTCTGTTTTCATTTTCTTCGATGTCCTCTGTTACACTCTCTTTTGACGTTATGTTCTTCTTGGACAGGGAAAGGCGACATGGTGACAAGCTCCCGTGACGTCAACTCAGACCTGTTCTACGGGGTCTTGGGAGGGCTCGGCCAACTCGGCATCATCACCAGAGCTCGAATCGCCGTGGAACCAGCGCCGCAACGGGTCCGGTGGGTGCGGTTCATCTACACCGACTTCGGCTCCTTCATAAACGACCAGGAGCTACTGATCTCCATCTCGGAGGAGGGTTTCGATTACGTGGAGGGACAGCTGCTTATGAAGAATGGAGCAGCTAACTCTTCCTTCTTCTCAGAGAGAGACTCGGAGAAGATCAAAGTGCTCGCAGCTGAGTTCGGTGTAATCTACTTCTTGGAAGGAGCTATATACTATGAGTTAGCCACGGCCTCTTTGGTTGATCAGGTAACAACACTGCTGCTTCCTCTTTCTCATGCAACTACAGGACATAGAAAAGTTCCCCGTCATCGTATCCTCCCATGGGCTACTTGATTCTACCACCAAGATTCCCTTGATTTGTCCACCCATGTTGTTTTTGGTGGCTCATGCAGGCATGCATGCATGCATGCAGCCTCATGCGCGTGTGATTGTTGCCTCCTCCAACAAATAGAAAACAATATATCATCTTGTCAATGGTTGTCTCTCCAGTCTTAATCACTGACTCGTTCGACAGAAGCTAAAATTGCTGCTTAAAAAGCTGAGCTTTGTCCCTGGCTTCGCGTTCACGAAAGACGTCTCCTACCTCCGTTTCCTCGACAGAGTTCACCATGACGAGATAAAGCTGCGTCCCATGGGCCTGTGGGACGTTCCCCATCCATGGCTGAACCTGTTCGTGCCCAAGTCCAGAATGCGAGACTTCGAGACTGGGATCTTCCGGGGGATCCTGATCGAGAACAACACCCCCATGGCAACGGTCCTCATCTCCCCCATGAACAGGAGCAAGTAGGTGGAACAAACTCGTCTCTTTCCTCGTCAAGAATTCCGAGTCTGCTAACTCGCGATTGCAGGTGGGATGAGAAGATGTCAGTGACGATCCCGGACGAAGACATATTCTACGCCATCGGTATCCTGAGATCTGCCACGATGGACGACTGGAAGCACTTAGACGACCAAAACGACGAAATATTGAGGTTCTGCAACCAGGCAGGGATCGAATTCAAGCAGTATTTGCCGCATTACACGACACAGGCGGACTGGAAGAAGCACTTCGGCCTCAAATGGGATACGTTTGTGCAGCTGAAGAGAAGATACGACCCCAAAGCACTGTTATCACCCGGGCAGCAAATATTTACGACCTCGCTGTAGCTCATATCTCGGAGTACGTACGTGCGTACGTAACCCACGCCATGCATGCACACGCTGCAATCCACCTGTGGAACGTCCACAGCATTCATCACGTAACCTGATGTATTTTCTGCCACATCTCGTATGAATCCCTTCTTAATTACCCACCTTAGAACCATAGCCTCGTGATGGACATATACATGTGATCATGCACTTGTGGACGACGGCAACATGATATCTACTTTAAGAAAGATTTGCCACTGTCATCGTCAAGGTGATTGTGGCAAAGATCCATGCAGATATTGCGAGAAAGATCAAAGATTTTGCGAAGACATCAGTGGATATTCTCCTATTGTTTTCTAATATGTCAAATGCTGATAGGTGCGACATGTGATTCTAATCGTTAATATGGACAACTTGGTCGAGCTTTGTGCATGCTTTCACTTATTATTGGCATCGAATGCGATTCTACCTAAACACATGATTCCGCTCGGAACATTTATATGTAGGAAGTAGGGTGATCGTGATTCCGGAATAATCGGATTCTCGAAATTAAGAATAAAAACCGAACCTGATTATTGAACCGAACCAGAACCATTGGTTCGGTTCGAATCATCAATTTCTTATATTTTTATTCAAAAAAGTATAAAAATATAATTTTATTTTAATTTTTTGAAAATAGATGTATAACTATAATAAGTGTAGTAACATAAAACTATAAAAATTATAATACAAATGACATTATTAGGATTTGAATTCAAACCTAAGCCTTTTCATTTAAAACCAACACTTTAATCATTATACCGCATGACCTCTTTAATTGGATCATCCCTACCAAGAGGTCAGTGAGAAGTTGAGGAATTAGTCAGTAGTTTAAATAAATTACAAAAGAATAGTTATTTAAATAATAAAATAGTAATAAAATAAAGTGCCTTGTTTTTTTTTTCGTGTTTTGTATTTTCTTCATGTAGTTATTTTATTATATCATATTTAAATAATAATGATGTTACTGTATACTGTATATATGTTTGAATATGATAGAATAAAAATTTCTTCTATCTTTTTTAAACCATCATTGAACTTTCCACTAAATAATATATTTGAATAAATTATATTTATATATATTTATATTTTGTAATACAATCTTACACGATATTTTTACTGTTTTTCTGTAAAGTTAAAACATCCATCTCGATATTTTCATCCTAATCATAAAAATGTGTATATATATATATATATTATTTTTAGTTCATTTATACACTGTATTAATCATTCACAAGTTTTTATTATTTATTTTTTAAAGCCTTTTATATATATAAAAAAAAGTGGTGTTGGATAATTTTCATCACAATTTATAATCAGATTATTACACTAAGAAAGATATAAGTAATGACAGGGAAAGGGATCAATAAAGTAGGGACGGAAAGAGAGAGGCATGCCAGCTTTGAGTCAGGCCAGTGTCGCACAATAATTACGAAAACATCATGATTTGGGTTGAAAGGGGGCCGATTCGGTCCAACCGCGCCGCTTAATTAAGGCCCCTAAACCCTATAATATAATACAAAATTACTTTTCCTACCTTCTTGATCTCACTCGTCAGCTACCCGGAACGTTATTGGGTATTTCCATGTGGAACCCGCTTTAGCCCGTCTCAAGTCCTCTAGTAAATGGAGGGTATGAATCACAGAGTGAGAAAGGGATGTGCGTAGAAACTATGGATTAGTTAATTAATTAATTAATTGTTCGATTAATTAATATATGCCCACTATAATTGTGAGGTGGTATAAATGTATCTCGTTTCTCCTCGGGTCACTCCTCTCGAACCCACTCGTACACCCCGCCGTAGGGTTTTCCCTTGTGAGCTTCTCATCTCGAGAAGGAAGGCAGCAGAAGGGGCGGCGATGAGCAACGACAAGCAGCAAGAGAGCCTCAATCTCGCTGGTCTCGCTTCCGGTCTCACCCCTCCCCATCCCGTCTCTCTCTACCGTTCGATCGCTCTTGCTCCCATTCGTGTCCTCTTTTTTTTTTTTTTTTTTTATTCTTGTGTCGAAATGTTTCTCGTGTGCAGCTTTGAGCGAGGAGGATAGAGCCGGTCTCGTCAATGCTCTAAAGGTGCGATCCTGGGCCTTCTTTGGATTATGTTGAACTTTGTGATTGCCTTTGCGTCTGATTGGAGGAGGAAAGATTCAATGTATTTGCTTGACGTGTTTTCATGGGTGCTTCTGTTGGGCCGCAGGACAAACTCCAGAGCCTCGCGGGGAAGCATGCGGATGTTTTGGAGACGCTCAGCCCGGTGGTCAGGAAGCGTGTTGAGGTTTTGAGGGACATCCAGGTTCGCTTTTATCTTGCTTTAGTAGGATTTGGTTGTCTTTTGACATGGGTATCTGGTTGGTTCTTGTTGGGGATTAAAATTAATCACATCCTTCTCTCTATTTAGATTTTGTTTAGATATTTGACCGAACTTGCCTGATGAAGCTTTGTAACTCACCAATAGAATTCCAAATACGTTCAAGGATGAACATGATAGGTCACGTGTATATGTTCTGCCTTTTGCTTGATAGTCAGGATCATTATTATTTTGGCATTGGTCAGTGGAAAATTTATTACGAGGTTCCGTAGCCTTTTTTCTTTGGGAGATGCTTGTTTCATAGTTTTTCTTGTCTCAATTTCAAATGTCATCCTCCACATTAACTTGAGCCTCTTTGAAAATGGAAGATAACTATGAAATTGGTGGTTCGGAAGTTCTCAATCTGCTATAGTTCTCAATTATGTTGCCAGTTATGTTAAGTCAGACATCATTTGTCTCTTCGTTAGAGGCATGGTTTGTACAAAATATGACTACATTAATTACATGAATTGATGCTTGTGGTCAATGCATCCAATTGCTGCCCTGCCTTTTGTTTTAAAGAGCAATGTGAAGGTTAAACCATACATCCACAGCTGTTTTATATTCTCATGTTGTTGGATGAGATGCTTAAAGCCCCCTTGGACCTCTGCAAATTGGCTCTGTATATTTCCAGTGTAGTGGATGAACTTACCGGTCACTTTTATGATAGGCCTTCTATATTATTTGCTGATGATATTGTCTTAGTTGATGAGAGTCTAGGTGGAATTAATTGTAAACTTGAGTTATGGAGGCAAATCAGAAACTAAAGGTTTTGGATTAAATAGGACTAAAACTGAATATATTAAATGTTATTTTAGTGATTCTAGAAATAGATAGGAGAATATAATTACGTTGGATGGACAAGAAGTCGTTTTAAGTAAAAGTTTTGGTATCTTGGATCAATTATTCAGTAAGATAGAGAGATCGATAAAGATATTATTCATATAGTAAAAACAAGATGGCTAAAACGGTGAAGGACATCAAGAGTCTTGTGTGATCATCAGATACTTTTGAGATTAAAAGAAAAATTTTATAAGATAGTTGTGAAACCAATAATGCTTTATGGATTTGAGTGTTGGGCAGTTAAGAATCAATATATACAAAAGGTTTGTGCTGTTGAGATGTGAATGCTGAGATGAATGTGTGGAATTATAGGAATGATAGAAAAAAAAAATTATTATTTGTGAACAATTAGGTATCACTTTAGTATAGAATAAGATGAGAAAAAATCGTTTAAGATGATATTAGCATGTGCTTAGGAGATCTCCGGATGCAATAGTTAGAACAGGTGAAATGATTAATATTAGTGGTATGATGAAGACATAAAAAGATTTAATAGAAACTATAAATAAATATTTAAGTACTTTGAACTTAACTAAACATATGACTTTTTATAGATTTCAATGGTGGCAAAAGATTCATGTAGTCGACTCCAAATAGTTAGGACTATGTCCTTGTTGTTGTTGTTATTATTGTCTATTTCCAGTATAAGTTAAAATTTCCTTATTTTTAAAAAAAATTTATGGGCACAATCTTACAAAATTAAAAAAATTGTGTAGGCACCATTTCTCTTGGATTTTTGTGAAACAATCATGAAGCCTTATAGAAGACCTAGAAAATATGGATGTTTTGAGCAAGAATTTATACCTATTACTAGCAACAGTACTATGTTACTCCTTAAAAGGTATATATTACATTGATCAGTTGAGTGATCTCTTCATTGCACAACCATATTGGTTTTGATTCGTGGCACAATAATGAGGACATTTCCGAAGTTTTGATTTGTGGCACAACTGTATTGACATTCTGAAATCGATGGAGGTAACATTAAGTTGTGAAATTATTCTGGTGGAGGTAAACATTGAATCCATAAGAAACACACAAGCTTGTGATGGCAGTTTTAACCAATGCTCTTTCCTGCATTACTATGTATGCAACGGTATAGTCCAAATGTTTATTAAAATCAACCAGCTCATCCATCACTATTCACCACCAATCTGAAACGTTCCAACTACTACAACTTTTATTTCCATGTATAATTTTAGATGTGATGTGCTTGCATTCGGGAATAAACACTCTACTTCCATCTCCACCTATAATTTCTAGATGCATCTGCCAGCATTCAGGATTGAACATGAGGGTTGTTAGACATGGATTAGAAAGAGACAGGACTCTTGGTAACTGTGTTAGGGACTCGCATAAGTTGATGGAGCATCTTCTCTTGTCTGTCATTTTTGTAGAGCCAACACGATGAGCTTGAGGCAAAGTTTTCTGAGGAGAGGGCCGTACTTGAAGCTAAATATCAGAAGCTTTATGAGCCATTATATACGAAGGTGCACTTTTAATTGCCACTATTGTTTCATGATCTTATTATCTTACATCCTTGTCCAATCACGTAAATCTTTTACTAATCCTAGTACAGAATGTTATTGATATTGGCTATTTTTAAATATTATTCGACATGGACTACAGAGGTATGACATTGTGAATGGTGTTGTTGAAGTTGAAGGCCTTAAATATGAATCTTCAAATGAAATCCCTGCCGAGGATAGGACTACTGAAGGTCTTTTAACAAACCTAAGATGCCGAATATTCTGATTTGGTTTGCCTTTGGTCTTCTGGATTCTTATTTGTTCCACCTTGCCTCAGAAAAAGGTGTGCCAGGCTTTTGGCTCACTGCGATGAAAACAAATGAAGTGCTAACCGAGGAGGTAATAAAGTGTTTAAATGGCACAGCGTTTTCCTTGCCAACTTTATAATGTTGTCAGGTCCATTAACTTTTCATCATCTAGATTCAAGAGCGTGATGAGGAAGCTCTCAAGTATCTGAAGGATATAAAGTGGTGCAGAATTGATGATCCTAAGGGTTTTAAACTTGAATTTTTTTTCGATACTAACCCTTACTTCAAGAATGCTGTTCTTACAAAAACGTACCACATGATTGATGAAGATGAACCAATCTTAGAAAAAGCAATTGGGTAATTTTTCTTTTCTGCTTAGTTGGCCAGTGGTATCAGATCAGGGTTTGTGTACTTTTGATTTTTTATAAATTGTTGTTTTTGCTGCAGAACGGAAATTGAATGGCTTCCAGGGAAGTGTTTGACCCAGAAGATTCTTAAGAAGAAGCCAAAGAAGGGTTCAAAGAATGCCAAGCCCATAACAAAAACTGAAGATTGTGAGAGTTTTTTCAACTTCTTTAATCCACCACAGGTTCCAGATGATGATGCAGATATTGATGAAGATACTGTAAGCTATTATCATTCTCCATCAATTTGAGAAATATTAGTGAGTAAAAGAAGGAAAAATGCAACTAATTTTATTGTTATTCTTTGGATAGGCTGAGCAGTTGCAGAGTCAAATGGAAGCTGATTATGATATTGGGTAAGCCCTTCCTTTAGTTTTGTTTGGCTGTCTACTGATTCATTGTCTCATGAAGAAAGTAGATAAATAGATACAGGTAACATGTTGATAATTCTAGAAGGTAAAGTCTTTTTTTGGATATTTAGAACCTGTTCAGTGATATCAAGTGTTGCTCCTTTGTTTACTAGTTCTTGTGATGTTTTTGCTTGAAATAGTAATTCCATGCTAAGTCATTGTTTTGCAATATATTGTTGTCCAGTCCCTTGTTGATACCATATTGACTAGTATTGTTAACCTGCAGGTCCACGATCAGAGATAAGATAATTCCCCATGCAGTTTCATGGTTCACGGGGGAGGCTGTTGAAGATGATGATGAACTAGAAATAGAGGGTGAGGAGGATGGTGAAGGTGAGGACGAAGATGATGAAGATGATGAAGAGGAAGATGATGAAGAGGATGAGGATGAGGATGAGGATGAAGAAGAGAGAGGCAAGTCCAAGAAAAAGGTATGACTGGAATACTTTCAAGATTTAGTTTGCTGTTTGGGAACATTACATACTGACTTGGTGTTATTTTTGTGTGCTATCACAAGCAGTCATCTATAGGGCAGAAGGTGCAGTATTAGCTTATCCCCTCTTATATATTTCCCTTGGCCTTAATCTGTGGTTGCTCCAATCCTGCTTGTTCATATTCTAATAATGATGATTTGTGGAACGCAGAAGAGTCGAGGGGATCAAGGTGATCGTCCTGCAGAGTGCAAACAACAATAGGTGTTCTATAATGTCTTCCATAATGGATGGAGTATTTTCTAGGGTGTGTAGTTGTGGAGGATCTGCATACAGTTCTTTGGATGATCAAGTTTTTTTTTTTCATCATGCTATTATTTTATCCGAGAGACAAAGTAATACCTAGACTGCAGTCATTGAGGTTTTGCATGTAGTTGGAACAATCTACTTTTATACATTCTGTTGTCATTTTATCTGGAGAACCCTTGGGGATCAGGGTGGGGAACCAAGTTTTGTGTTCTTATATTGTAGCAACATTACTAGTTTCCTTCTGTGTCTGTCGATGGACTTGAGATTGTGTATGCCATTAGTGATTTTACTATTGTTTGAGGAATATTGTGCCATACTTACGAGTACTTTATAAGTTGCTAAGTGCACTGGCCTTGTTGCTCTTTAATAAAGCGGGAGGCAATGATGCCCTCAAATCAATCGATGAGGCAGGCGACGGCCTCCACGAGCTTACCTGCGCTGTGATTGGCGGCCTACCATGGCCCGAAAGTGGGTCCCGCGGCGCGCGAGTTTTGGTCATCTTCTTAGGTGTGCACCGCATCTCGACATTCAGGTTCGTGCATGCACTTGATGGTGCGACGAGATCCGTGCTGACCATCAGCAGCAGAGCCCGACGCAGTTTGAAGAGCGGAGAGATTGTGGGAAGAGTCTGCTCCTTGTGGCGGCAGATCAAGACCGAGAAGTAGTTCCTCCGCGCTGGCGCCGCCGCCGCCACCGTTTTTCCCTCCTGGTGGTCCTGCCGCCAGAACGTCTTCACCCTCGCAGCCTCCGCCGCTAAGTCCTCTTACCCGCCGCCAGCCCGTCATCTCCCTCGCCGGTCTCTTCGGGGGAGGTATCCCATTCTCCGTTCTTCTTTGTCTATCTTCCGCTTTATTTCATAGATTCGATCCATCACCTTTGACACTCCATCAATTTGATAGTCTTCTCCCTTCGTTCTTCCCAAGTTTATCCAAATTTCTTTCTTTAAATGGATATGCTACCCAAAACATTCCCTAATATTCTAGACCGATCTATTTATTTGTACTGTTATAGTCACATGCGCCTGGTAACATCTACTTCTCTGTTACCTTATCCGCCAGAAGAGCTTACGAGCGTTCGTGCGTCTGCAATATCAGCATTTAGGTAAATCTTCATTAAAGAAGTTGAATTAATGATCTCTATTGCGTGCATGAGGTAGAATGACTCAGTCCTCATGACTTTTGTTGTTCCTGCTGATTTCATTAATGCTTTCTGGATATTCCTTGTTAAGGCTACAAAAACGATCTGAGTTTGATACTTATGATAGTCAGGAGTTGAACTTTGTTTTTTCTACCACTGCAAGATATTGAATGACTTCATGATGGATCTAAATTTCTAATCCAGCTAGTGTGCTCGGTGTTCTAAAATCTTTGGAAATCTAAATGTGTCATGAGCTGCCTGTATAATTCTACTTCATGTTGTTCTAGTTAAGTAGTTATGGTGATCTGGATTGTTTGATAAGACCCCTTCAGTATTACGTGCAAAATTGTTGCTGTTCTTCTCGTTTCTATTTAAGCTGTAGAGAACATTCCTCTGTTTACCTAGGACTGTGTAGAAAGCATCCATATGTTCTGGGAAGCATGATTTATAGCCGAGTCAATGTTTCTTAAAAGCCAAAGTATAGAAAACACGTTGGTTTCTTTAGGATTTGGCTTGGAATGCGGACTCCAACTATTGGAATTTGGCAACCGTCAGTATCTAAATGGAAAACTGATTAAATAGTATTTCTGGTCATGGGCACCAAAAAGAGTTTTGGCTAGAACATACAACGGCTATCGATAAATTGTTGTCTCAGCAAAATTAATGTGGTAATACAAATCAATCAGAAAGGGGTTAGGTCCTGACGACATTTAGATCAGGACCCTAAATTAATTGCTGCCTGTATGGTTCTGTCGGTTTGTGTTCATCTTCCTTGGTGAAATACTATAAATCTCTCCATTCGAAGAATATTATACTTGTAACCCCCTTCTTTTTTGTGTATGTCTACTAACAGATGTAAGAGTTGGGTCTGAAAACACAACATTTACCTTCTTCACTGTGACTAATAGAAGATTCACTAAGTCTCTTATTAACCTATTACAGGAAACTTGGAAGAAAGTCTGTCCTAAATTTGCTAAAATGGCAATGTGCACCACCTCTGTTTTCAGGTTAGTTTCTACACTCTTTTCCTTTTGTCTCATCGATGTATTTAATTGCTGTTGTCTGAAGCATCATCTCTTTTAACCATCTTGTGGTTCCCAAGTCAATCATCTGCTTATAGGAACATGGAAATATGATTCATTGGTTTACATATATGGATCTTTTTTTAAAAAGTAATTATCTTCATCCCATTAACAAATGAGGTACAAATTCACTGTAAGCCCAACTAATCCATCAGTATACTATTTTCCAGAAGGATTCCATATACTGTAACTACCAGCTGAATATGTCATTTATTCCCATGTTCCAAAAAAATTCTCTAGGTATGCTACAATCTTTTTTCTCAATGAAGGAAAAAAACAAACTGCAATCTGATTCTTGAAGGTTTTTGGTAACACATTTTAGAAATTGTTTTTTCACATATAGAAGGTCATATTTGAAATTCAGGTTAATGTGATTGTTGTTCATAAATCTGCAATGTGATTATTATCAGAAATGAAATATATAACTTATCTTGATAAGATGGTAGCCAATTTATATAGCTCTATATACAATATAATATAAGTTATGTTCTAGTTTATTTCATTAAAAAAAAGAATTTTGGTATTAAAAGTAAGACTTGATGTTTCATGACATGACGGTATCTCGATACTTTTTTCATATAGCACAATTTGTATGTTGCTGGCTGATAACAAGTAAAAGTTGGTGGCTATGTCATATGTTGATATCGACCAAACCAAAAGTTGGTGGTTGAGTCATATGTTGATATCTTTGACACGGTTGGCATGATGTCTGCCACTATCTTAATTGGCATCACATTTTTTAGTTGAAAATACTAGTTTGGGGATAGTATATGGCTTAATCCTTGGCCATTATATGTATTATAATACATGCCATACACAAATAGGCCTGTGAATGTTCTGAGCTGGTCAAAAGGGCTCTTTCAGATTGCAATTTAAACGCTAATCAGGAGTTTATAATCATGACACATTTGGAAGTGAAAATTGGACTGGAAATAACTTTTGGTCATATCCCACAAGGATGAAAGCTAAATGCAGTGATTGTCCTATCTGGAAAGTTTCTCAATTCTGCATTAGATGATGACATTCTTATTATAAGATGCATCAGGTACAGGTTGAAATTAAAAATTGGCACCAATAACAAAGGTATAAAAGACCGTCTGTCCTTTTATCCCAACTGTAAGTACAAAATTTAATAGATAACAAATGTTATGCTAGTTTGTTTGATTATCTTTAACTGGTTATTGAATCTCATCTATTAGGCATTAACAAAGGGGAATTAGCTTTATGACACTCGGTAATTAGATGGATAGCCTGAAGATCTTAGATGTGCTATGCAGAAAATTTTTGCTGCTAGTGCTGTAGTTGAGACTTATTAATGGAGTCTGATCGGGTACTTTACAGCAGGCCAACAAAATTAAAAATTCAAGCAGTATTTCTTGTCACTTAGCTAAGGAGTTATATATTGATATAACTTTCGGACTGATATTTGGTTCTCAGATTTTATTTTTTAATCACATACTCTATCCTGTAGTTCTACTCTTAAGATTTATTCTAAACATACCTTCTTGACATGCTTTACTAGATAATTCTTATCAAGTAATTGCTTAGTTGTTGGTTTGTTCTCCAGGTAGAATGATTTATTCCTGGTTAGGTGCCTTTCTCTCTGTCACATAAAGCGTAACCTGTTTCTTTGGTTGTTGCACAGGCTCTATCACATAAATCAATGCTCAGAAATATTTAGAATCCACTTGTGCTGTTTCCTTGTGGTCCTAGAATTTATTGTTTGTTTTTATACTAGCAATTAGCTGATAATGATGAATCAGCAACCTGTTCTAAGCCCAAAAATATAAACTATGGAGAAATGCAACTGATGCTTTTTGCATAGTCCATGTTATATATTCTTGGTTAGGCCAATATAGATTTAAATCAAACTGATTGAGTACTACTCCTTAGGCACTTGTTCCCCTTAGTTTCTTGTCACTTTTAGGTACATGGTGATTTGGTGGTCTTGAGCTTTACCTCATAAGGAACATTGTAATTTGCAGCTTTTATCACCTGACAGCATGGTCGGTTGGTTGTTCCCATCTATCAGTTCTTAGTGTGAAATATCCTCTATGATAAGTGATTGAGACACCATTTCCCTTACAGAATACCACAATTTCTGTTGGTCAATGATTGCTTCTTTCACAAACATCAAGTCAAGTGGTCGAGTCTAACCTAACTACATTTGAGTGCTTTAGTTAGAGGCTAGAGGGTGCAGCACAAACTTCAAAGTAGAGTGATGCTTTTCGATCATTTTATTTGCTGATTTTACATCTTAACCAGGTATAACTTTGACATTAGATACCAGATTAAGGCTAGTAAGCAGCATACTTTTTGAGAAAAATTGATTACTCAGAGAGATACCTGAGCCTGTTGCTTAATTCAAATTTTTAGGGGAAATATGTCTTATTTTAGAATCCAAATCTGAAACTACTCAGCTAAGCAGTTGTTTCTGGCCTGATATTAGCAACGAGATGACAAACTCGTAGACTTTTTCTCAAAACCTTGGTTTATGTGTTGCATGTGGAGTTATTATGGTTCTCTATTATGTTGAAGTGATTAATTCATGAGCTCTGTCAAGATCTAGTGTGTTTCAAATTCCATCTGGTCATATTCCCGTTTGCCTTTTCTTCTCTGAACTAGGTTTCCACCATGAACTCTCTTATTCATGTGTGCTTGATATGATTGCATATCCCTCATGTTATATACTTCATGGAGTCGTATGACTTCTGTTCTGCCCACATGACTTCTATCACATTGGAGGGACAGGTCACACCTTTATCCACACTTATGGCAGGCTAAAGGATGGACCAAGTATAGGAGAATATCATTTTTTGTATGCCTGAAAGAACCTTTTATTGATTGTGCAGTCCTTGCTAATGTAAAACCTAGCATTATTGGCACTGCTATGAAAGAGAGTGTGCCCCAAGTAGATTAGCCTCTTAGACTGGCAAGAACTGTAGGAAGCATCACGAGTACGGCTGAAAATGAATCAGATAAATCAGATAACAAATAAGATATCCTTGGTTATGTTAGATTTTCATTCAGATGAACGAGGGTATTCTAACTGTGGTTGTGGGGGATATTACATATTATCTCTAAGTTTATCCCTCTAATGACTATAACAAACAATATACTCTTAAGGGGATGAATCTGATGAATCTTCGCATCATATAAGATATGTTTCTTGGGACTTAGGATTAGCATTGTAGATACAATTTATCGTAACCATTCATAAATTGGATGCTCATAAGTGGGATGTCGAAGGTGGTGACTCTTATGCACCACTTCTTCAAGATGGCTTCTGTTCGAGCTTAAGCTGCTCATAAACAAGTTTTACAAATGGATATTCATATCCATGAATTATTTGAAGCTGTTAGTCAGGATGTGACAAAACAATTTATCATTCAAAATGTTTCTTGTATAACTGTGCTATGAAAGCTTCGCTTGTCTTTTTATTTTCCTTCTTATGAGAAAAAAGGAGTAAACTGGTAAGTTGTAAGCTTACATTGAGCTCTACTCTGAACCAAATGTAGGCTTTTTGATGTGGCTTGTGGTTCAATAGTCCTGATTTGTATAGGTCTAGGTTGTCTACAACTTATTTAGAACTTTGTACAACCTAGTGATCAATGAAGTCAGAGAAACCAAATTCTATTTGGTGGAGACATATGTATGGTCCAACTTTGTCGGCCTAAGCTTTAATGTTTAGCAGCCTTTTTATCATCATAAATGATGTGATGTATTGCTTGTATGTTTTGGTATGTATGCTTGTAATAGGTTAACTACTTGGAAACAACCAACTTTGGTTGTTGTCTCATGGACTTAGGTGACTAACAAGTGTTTTAAGCTGTGGGTTGCAATTAAATAAAATGGACATAAAGCTAAAAAGAGAGCACCTGCTTTTACTTTCTTGTTCCTTTGATGGAATATTCATCTTCCACCCTAAAGTGTAAGTTGAATAAGCATATACTTGCTTGAGTATTCTATTTTGATTAGTGTTGCAACTCAGTCACACACAAAAAGAAGAAAGATGAGAATGTCAAGTAATCCATGATATGCTAGATTTAAATTTGAGCAACTTCCTCGGCTCTTGTTGTTTATTGATGCAATATAACCATGAAGTTGCTGCATTCAGTGTTTCAATTCATTTTTTTTCTCTATACCACCACATTTGCATTATTCATTGTCACACACACAGTACTCACAATGAGAACATACCTGTGTTGCACACTTGAACTACTTGTCCATCCAAACTGTCTCAGTGAACATGCCTTTCCGAAATCCTCACTGCAGGAAATCAGCCCCACTTCAGCGCATTTTTCTCTCTCAAAAGGGCAGCAACTGCAGAAACAGGCCACAGAGACGGATCCCGCCACTGCAGCTAAAGCAGCTTTTCTAGGCTCGATGATAAATTTCTCCAGGTCCTGCATGCTCCCTCAACTCCAAAGTCTTCTCTGCCACAAAGCTGCTGTGGTCAAACTTCAGAACTCGTAACTCACTTTTAACCTCTCCACCACATTTAATTCTTTTCTTGGGAGCTGTGGACCTTGTTTTATCTCATTCAACCTTTTTCCTAAAAAGAAGGAAAATTTTATTTATAGCACTTGTACACTGCCGTCTCTCTGCCATGGACTGATATGCCATGCACAAAATACACAAGGACCTTCTCTAACCAATTTCACTGCTGGGTCTTTCTGTGTACATTGTGAGCTTCCAAGAGGAAGCAGTAGTAGTGGTGGAGACACAACACATTGCTCTAACCCTAATTGTTTCTTTTGTGTCAACATGTGTTGTGACTGCAACCAGCCAGCCTCTCTCAGTTCTTCCTCCTCACTATGATGGGCATCCTTCTCTTCATCCTCACCGTGGGGAAGTTCACGATCTGGTCCTCCTCAGCCACCCATCTGTGGGCACAGCAGCCAAGTGCAGGTTGCATCAACCATGGTGCCTTAAAGTGGCACTACAGCACGTGTGTGCTGCAGTAAATGTTAGAGCACTGGTGTGTAATACAATACACCAGTCAGTCTTCATCTTGGAACCACGTTGTGACAATGTCTAAAGAAGATGCATGCTTCGTGTACCAGTGACCGCTATAAATGGAATCACAAACTAGGAGAAGTTGCATGTATTGATGGCAGCAGATACGTACGTGAAGCCAGTAACCAAATGGTGCAGAAAGATGGAAGCTTCCAGCCTGGCCAAATCCAGCCCCGGGCACAGCCTTCGCCCACCACCGAAAGGAGTAAAGCCACAAGTACTCGTGTCCTTGCCCTGTAGGGTTTCAATGAGCACGAGAAGAAGAAATAGAAGAAGAAGAAGAAGGAGGAGGCAGTCACTTTACTTTCCATCTCCATGGATTGAAGCAGTAGGCCTCCTCGTAGAGGTCGTCTTCGAGGTGGACCGATCGGAAGTAGGCGAACACGCACCATCCCTTGGGGATCAGGTGCCCTTTGATCTCCACATCTTTCATGGCCTTGCGCATGATGCCGCTAATTATGTTCCCCATACGCAGCGTCTCTGTTATGACCTATATCGAGTACTACTACCATGTTAGTCTCAGTATGTATGTATGTATGTATGTATATGTGTGTGTATATATACATGTACGCATGATGCTTTTTTACTGCACATCGATGTCCTCAGTTTTAACTGTCAAACTTACATCTTGTGTGAAGGACAAGGACATGTAGTCGGTCCACTGCAGTGTCTCCCCGAGGAGAGATTTGCTCTTCTTCAATTGCATGTTCTCTTCCTGAGATTATGAGAGGAAGCCATTAGTTTGGGTTGAGAAAACGTTGATCAACCCATTCGGAGATGATGTATGGCACGGCTTAATCATCCGAGAAATACTAGATGAATCCAGATCTTAAACCACGCATGAAGGGTTAAGGAGCATGTGGTTTGGTACCTCCAGTTGCTGGAGAGCAAGAGGGCAGTCGCTGAGGTACTTGGCTGCAAGCGTCAGAAGAACCGGCACCGAGTCCTCCGCTGGTATCATCAGATCGATCATATTGTCCGATATGAGGTCGTCGGGCAACTGATCGTTGCTGTCATTCAGCAGAACATCCACCACGTCCCGTGGAGGGCACCGAGGTTCGCTCATCCTCTTCTCTTGGATGGTCCTCTGGATCAGCATCACCATCTTCTTCTTTGCCTGGGTTGAACTGTTCACTAGTAAGTCATTATGAATCGAAGTTGCAGGTTTGCCATCAAGTTAGCTAGCTGAAACATAGAGCCAGACTTGCCTGCAGCGATCTATAAAGTCTACTTCCCGGTAGCTTCACTGGCAAAGACATCAAACCAGCAATAAATTCCTGGAATTGTTGCTTTAAGATGTGCATTTCCTCTCCTGGCTCCAACCCAATCAATCCTTTCACCAGGATTTGGAAAACAATCTGCTTAAGATAAGGCAACATGAGAGAAATTGTTTGGTGAATGTGTAACTGCTATCGCCACACAAAGTAAATGGTGACATGAAAAGGTTGGGACACAGTCAAACCCGACTCAAGGTCATTAAATTCCCTCCTGCCGGCCAGGCTTTGCATGGGGTCTTACGCACGTGTGCATCAGTCACAGTTGCGTGCCTTGGGATGAGGGGAAGAGATCAGAGGAGGAAGGTCGTGAGGGACTCACTAGTTTGGCCTCATCTTGGAGGTGGATGAGGTGCCCATCCTTCCAATTGCTCATGGTCTCCTGCACGTAGCGCTGCATGTCTTTGGTGACTTGACTCTTGAGGTGGCCGGACTTCAGGAAGGCGCCGATGAGGCCATGAACTCGTTTTTGGAGGCTCCCGTTGATCATCAGAATGGAGGACTTCCCCATCAGCTCCGTGAGCGATTTGGGATACCATGGCACGAAGGACTTCTCGTCACTTTGCAGGATGAACCGACTGACTTCTGCATCGGTTGACACGATCGTTGGACTTCCGAAGATATGCGACTTGAACACCTTCCCATACCTAAAAGATTCGTACATGGCATAAACCCTACCTCACAACATCATGATCACACAAGCATGCATGAGCTGGTAACACATCTACGTACACGAGACGGCGCTTGTCCATGAAGCTCTCCGGGCGAGGCGAGTAGGCGCAGGACACGAACTCGAGCGTCTCTCCGATAAGAGGCCAGCCGAGGGCTCCTTTGGGGAGACGACCAGCTCTCGTTCTCCTCTTCAGCTTCCGACTCTTGCAGAGGATCACGGTCACCACGATAACTGATGCTGCCAGCCATATGATCAACAACTTATCCATGCTGCAAAGCTCTGTCGTTTTGGATGGTTGTGTGCGTTTTCCAGCACGCTACGATGAGGACGACGACGGATCGAAGAGAGAGAAGGAGGTGGGGGGGGAGGGGGGCAAAGGAGAGCAAAGAGAGAGTGAAAGTAGAGAAGAACAGAGCTGTTAGCGATGCTAAGTAAATGTGGATGAGCTTTCACAGTGCACGATATTTAATGGTGGCATCGCCCCAACTCTATGATTGTAATGTACCATAGACCATTGGGGGGCCACATGTGAGGTCCGTTCTATAGAATCCAACCCACCAACCTCCTGTCGTCATCTTCATCTTCTTCCCAAAATTTTCTCTCCCTACGCACACACACACACACAAAATTATCATCTAATATCCGATCCGTTCCACACGATTAGAAATGGGATAATATAACCTTTGATCCAGCCACCTGCATGTGGTGGCCATGTCTTTAAGGTAGCACTCGAGCTAGGCGCCCAATTAAGAATGCCCTCCTTTAGCTTTCCCCCCCTCTGTGCTTTGCTGTAACTCTTTGGCCAGTAATATACTAATGGCTGCATCAAGCCATCCTGCTTTTGGTGGAATTAACCTAACCAAAAGCATCTTTCTCGAGAGCTGTTGTCCCACCTACTGCTGCACAAAAACAATTGGAGTCAGGTTAAGATCCTGACCCCTTTCTTGCTTTGGCAATTCTGCTTCGACTCATGTTCCACATAAATATTGTTGCCTGGGTGAGAGCATTAGGCATAAAGTAATGCAACTAGGATCCTTCGTTTGAGCTAATTGTACTTGTGCTCTCTCTGTGGTTTGTCACCTGATAAGTGAAGAACGAAGACTGAAGCCCGGGGTGCTCAAGTAACCCGGAGCTCCTGCGGAGTCCACAAAGTACAGCTGACCGAGATGGCTGTGACATCAGTTGCTTCATCTTGGCTTGCATGCGAGTCTTCTTGTTGTAGTCAGTGCCTGCTTGCACGCAAATTCTAGAGCATGGCCATGGAATCAGTTTCTTTATTGCTGCAACGACGCTGGTTGCTTCTGCAAGGTAGAACTCAAACAGGAGAAGCTTTTGTTGCCACTGCAAGCATCACACACCATGAACACCGGTTGCCGCTGCAAAAAAAACCAGAACACGAAGAGAAGGTGGTGGTGGTGTTGACCGTGAGCATCACAGCGTGCATGGATTCAAAGCGGCCCTGACAAGTGACGACGACAGCGACATCCATATCTTCCCATTACAAGGAAAGCAAGTTATAGGATATTGTGGCAGGGATAGCCTTCCCGGCCATAATGGCGTTCTTTAATGGTGCGTCGGTACTACCACCGGGAGCAGTAAACTATGCAACCCACCGTGTAACCTATCGCCATCAGAGGCAGGCACGACGAACAAGGAGAAAGAGTAGGTGGGAGATGGAATCAAAGCATGATGTGACCATATCAATTCATTCGGCTTCCCTCCTTTATTCATCGACCCAACCCTTTTAATTTAATGATCTGACATGGTGAGGATAGGATTTATATAAATATACAGAGATGCTCTGCTCGATTTCATGTTCCTCGTTAGGGAATTCGATGATATCATTGGCTGTCGAAGGTTGCAATTTGGGTTGGACTCACTCAGCTGGGATTTATTGGATGCAATTGCTTGCTTGGTGGGGTTCATCAAAGCAGTAGGATCAGAAAACAAATATGGTTATCAGAATAACAATGACTTCGGGTTGGGTTCTGGTTTTCTAGGCCCAATGCTGCCTTAAAGGTTCAGATTCAACTAAGAAGATGTTCTTCGAAGTTCCACTTCGCCATGATTCATCCACCCTCTGCTATCATTTCTTAGGGCATATGAACTGAGGCAGCAAATTCTTCTTTTCATGAGTCCATGCACTTGGTGTTCTGATCATGCAGAAGTCGCTATGTTTGAAAGTGACAAAATAGAAGACGTGAGACTTGTTTGTAGTCATGAGATCAATTCAATAGTTATGGAGACACTAATTTAGTGTCACAAAGGAGATCCAAATCTACCAGCTGATCCATGGTACGGTTGCTGTGGTCTTTTGGAGGATTTGTACAGTTGCTGTGTTCTTTTGGAGGACTTGTACAGTTGCTGCGTTCTTTTGGAGGACTTGCACAGTTGCTGCGTTCTTTTGGAGGATTTGTACAGCTACAAAACAAACACTTAAAATTCATAGGTTGAGACCACCAAAACTGTAGTCTGATCTGAATCACCAACTGGTACTTGTCAGACACCATTCCACCACAAATTCATGATCAACAGCTAAGAGTACATGAAGCCAAAACCAAGAAGCCCCCACCAGATAGCAAGAAGACAGGGTCCAGATCAGCTAAACCAAAACCACAGGCAGCTCCACCCAGTTTGTAACTGCTTACGATTAATATCATTCATCAAACATCTGCGCAAACATTTCCACTGTTGGCAGGTTGATGCTGCAAGTTTTAAGCTTCTCATCGATCAAACACCTGCAAACTGGGTAAACTTGCATGCCTGAAGCAATGATCCACAGGTGGATCTTCTTTATTCTTTGGATCGTTGCTTCTGAATTGACAACACATCAAGTTTATGCAAAGCAGCAGCAACCCAACATACTGGTCGGCACTGCAATATTCGCCATCTGCTACTGCAGACATCTGAGTAGAATATCCATTTCTCCATCTCATGTAGGGTACAAAGCGTGAAGCGTCGCAGGCATACAGCCAGAGTCTTCTTTGGTACGGACTGCAATATGATTTTTGACATGAGATTGTTTCTCTTACAGGATATTTACCTGTGGAATTCATAGTCCATTGCCCTCTTAGTTTGGTCGTGATGGTGATGAAGCTCATCAACTCTGTGAGATTTTGCCCTACACAAATGACTAGTTTACAGAAGCTAGGAATCGTGAACACCTTTGATAGAAGAGCTGATATCTCTGATGCATGTGCATTGGAACAGGAGAAAGACCGAGGTTCGATCACAAGAAATGGTTGATGACAGTGAAAATAATGATCAATTGATCACACAGTGCCTTCACCGGTTTACTAGCTCACTCGAACGCTTCTTACCCTCCCTCACACGACAGAAACATACTATGAGCTCACACTGTCACGATCTAATAATTAGCCCATGAGTGCAAGAGTCAACGTAGCTCTCCCAGAGGGAAAGCAATGCTCAACCTCGAATTAGGCCACAAGAGAGAGCCATCAACAAGGTAGCTGCATCCCTTTCATCTTGCGGGAACACTTCATAGAACGCTGAATTGGAACTCAGACCGATCTCGACATCTTCCACGCCGAGCTGCTTCTGAGAAGTGCTTGCAGTGGTGATCTTGCACCGCTTCTTGAATGGGAGAATTCGACGCATGTTTGGCTTCTTCTCTTTCCGTATCTTAGTTGGAGCATCACTGCGGATTAGTCCGCCGCCGCCTCTGGCAGCAGCTTCCATGGCCCGTCGCGCCTTCCGCTGTCTTATCCCGCAAGCATTACAAAGGGACTGCACAGAGAAGGACGGGCAAGGTAAACAACTCGGACTGCAGTTACATTTGCCCGTGGTTCATTTGGGAGCCTCCAAAACATTAACAGTTGTATACCTTGGGGCCGCGAGGGCCACCTCTCCACAGAGGAGTTTTTGTTGTCTTGCAGATGGAGCAGACTCTGGTAATATCAGCTGGAGGATTGATGCTGCAATTGGTTTGCCTGCATCCCCTCGGTGTGCCATCTTCCGAGCTCGTCGTCTTCTTCATGATCCGCATCTCAGAAGACATCCACTGATGACGTTCTTCATCTTTGCACCAATTCAACTCGATCGTCTTCCCGATATCTTGATCTCTGGTGGGACGTGATATCCAATGATCACTCGACTGATCCACGGTCTGCCATAAATTAGTTGCAAGCATCAAGTCCTGTTGCACCAGAACTAGTCATGAACTATATTTGGTGCAGCAGAAGTTACTTGCCTCTTGTTGCGGTAGCTGTTGCCGGGGTGGGTGGAAACCTCTGCCATCTGCTCCATGCTCATGGGGGTTTCCTAAGAGAAACGGACATGAGAATGGAGAAGTATCATTTGCTACTGCAAAGATCGGACGATCAATAGTTTGATCTTCGTCTCCCTCTGCCATGGAGATAGCAGAAAAGCGGCTCAAATGGAATGGAAGCAGAGAGAGAGAGAGAGAGGAGGAGGAGGAGGAGGAGGAGGAGAAAGGTGAGGAGGTGGGGCGTAGGGATGTAGCCTGGCTCTCAGTCCTTTCCAAGATAAGTACCAAAGAGGAGAGGTCGCTGGGCCAAGATGCCAACATCAGCCGTGACCAGTGGTTGATCAATCAAATGCGCAGACCAGTAATTATCTTCTTCACCGAGGTAAAAGAGAATCAACATCAGTGTGGGGCTTAGCACACAAACCCAAACCATATCAGAGAGGCACCACGCAGCACAACACAAAAGAGAGATGATGGAACGCCGAAGGGAACATCGCAACTGCACATGAACACAATCTTCCGCGTCGAGGACGATGGGCGTGCATGGCGGCATCTCACAGTATTAGCCAAAGAGCATTTGGTGCGATGGTTACTAAACCAGAAGAGTGGCTGAGATCTCAGCTTCACTTGGTACTCTGTTTCTGGGTACCACTGCAAGACCTGTCTCTTCTCCCCATCTGCCGCTTCGCATACCTCCATTCGTATGAGCCAAATCTGGCAATTCGCTGTTCTCGTGATGATCCCACAAATTTTACCGCTGGCGGATGCCGGGAAGTTACCATCTCCAAACCAAGGAAACTGATGATGTCAGATCTTCGTAGACAAAGATCATCTCATAAACCATAAGATCCAAAGGATCCGTGGGAAGCTTGTCCCGAAGTGGACTGGTGAGAGTCTACGCTTCGAGTCGGAGCTTCTTATCCAAATCATCATCATCATCATCATCATCATCATCATCATCATCAAAATGCTGCTGCTTTCTTTGGATGATGGAGAGGATGGATACGTACCCCGTTGCTGTTGCTGTGCGTGTGCGGGAGAAGGAGAGAGGATTCACTGCCGTGAGGTGTAAGGCGTAGGGCTGCGGTGCGGAGTGCGTCCAAGCAAGTGTAGCTTTCGAAAGGGTGTCTGCAAAAGACAAGGATCATGGCTTGCAGCTACAAGACAGTACACAGCCTGCCACATGGACCCGTTTCTCTCCACAAGCAATGCCGCGGTGCTTTTTTTCTATCTCTCCGGATTCGAGTTGACTGATTGAATGATGCAGCTCTGCTGATTGGATTCCGAAGATGGAGTTGATCGTGTGTTGCTCGTGGGATAATGTTTGGGTTTCCTGCCTCTTCTTCTCCTTAATTAATTGGCCGGTGAGGATTTTTGTGATAATTTTTGTTTTATCTTTCGAGAATTTAATTTATTAGTGAAATTACAACAGATAAACACGACCTAATGTATATATCACCTCAAACAAATATTTATTTGTAAATTAATACTTAAGTGGATTCAATATGTGTAACAATGTGTAGAAAGCGAGAAGATTTTTTTTTTAATTTTACAAAGCATATAAGTGATGAAGATGAGATTCGAGCAAAGTAAGATCTTACGATAATCCGTCAAAATCTTTAACGATTAGGTAAGAAGATTAAGACTAATAGAATGAGTGCAAGGTTGACAACGTACTTTTTTTTTTCCCTTTCTCCATCGGAGGTTGGGTTTACGTACAATTATTGTGTCCATAATGTATGGGTATTAAAACTGGTATGAAAGATAATTAAATGAAATCCATTATCAGACCACATATTGCCTATGATAAAGAAGTGATGATCTTTGGCTCTTCTTGTGAAGAGTGGCTGCTCTCCAAGTTTCCAACTAATTTAAAATCAAAAATAGCTTTGTCAGAATCAAATAAATTAGAGATGGCAATACAATAACGAATAGTAAAACAATGTTAAGAGAATTTGGATGCATTAAGGGAATCATTTAAAATCACAATAGTTGGTCGTGGAGAACACACGTCTCTGACGCTGTTATAAGCACTCACGAGTACAAACTAGTAGGCCTGCCTTATCAGGCAAGGATAAGAAGAAGAAGAAGATGCCCCCTTCGACTTGAGAGCAGTCACTGCCAAGCTTCGTCGAATCCATAAATTTAAAGTAAGGTGACCTTGCTGTCTGTCATATGTGGTCACAGCTCAGAGTGGGACTAGCTAAGTTTGGTCTCATTAATGCAACCGCGGTTTAATTTATGATGTTTCAAATGATGTGTGGTCAACTTAGATTGGGACTGTTGCTATCATTAATGCAACCGAGCTTCAATTTAAACTCCGAATGATAGGAAGATGATGTGTGACACATCATGCTAATTCTCTTTGGACGAATCGATCAAGGAAAAATAATATAAGCATGAGAAGATTCATTTCAAAACCTTTGTTTTGATGACATTATAAGGTCGAAAGTCCAACCCTCGTCGGTAGAAGATCTTGTAACTCATAATCATTTTGTTTTTTTCCCCTTTGGTGCTATATTTCCTCTTCCACTCTCTCTTCCATACTATTTGATGATTTTGGTCCTTTGATTTCCATTTTTCTCTTTTTGGTTTTTGTTGTTTTATGACTTAATTTGAGCATATAATTCTTATATCACACATTTCACTGCGAGAACGGAGGAAAAGGAAAGAATAAATACCATACCAACTGGTCGTGCTCCTGCAGAATCACACGCACACAGATATCATTGCAGATGAGATTTTGGACTTGAGACGACAAAGAGAAAAAGAAAATATTAAAACTCAAGAAACAGGTATTTTATTGAGGATATGAACAGGGCATGCAACTTATGCAACCCCTTCAATGTTTTGATCAGTACCTTCTCTTTTCTCCACACCAACAATAATTACAATTCCGGCCGCTGTGTATAATTTCAAGCAGTTTTCAGAATCGACTTGTGATTCCGAAACAAAAATGACAGAATTATATACTGCAGTGCTATACTTTTAATCGTTGTGTAAGAGCTTCGGAGTATACCGGTATTAATTCTGCAGCTGCACTTCGCACAGCCAAAATGCCTTTTCTGCTACCAACAGCCTCTTGAGGAGTCCTCTACTTTGAACAGAAACAAATATATTTTGTGATATATAGTCGGTGCCCTGCTGTTCCAGCATAGACACATCGATTTGCACGGTTTGTAGTCTTCAGTCAGTAGCCATATATATTTCCGCTGACGTGGGAAGTTTCAGTTTACGACGACCAACTTCTGCAACCTTCAGTCAGTAGCCATCTATATTTTCGTCGAGATGGGAAGTTTCAGTTTACGACGACCAACTTCTGCAACTGCTTAAGACATGACATAAGCTGGGCAAAAGATGGGCGTTCGTTTGGCTCACTGCATGAGAAACCAAGTGTATGAGCATGATGCTTAGTAATAATACATTCAATCTAGTGCATTAGTTTTGAAACCAACATTTGCAAAAACAATGATGCAAAAAATTAACCTCTAGGAATCCTTGCAATACAATTGGAAGCAAATTATAATGCCAGTTAAAAGAACAGATCGATTCCGTCGCTACAAATACCAGAAAAGCACAATGAAAATGAACAATGTTTGCTGTGATACCAGAATGCCACTATCTACAGTTCACTTATTATTATTAACCTTCTGTATCCATCAACCACTTCATTATTTGGAAATGAAGTTTCACTAACTTTTACGTGCATTGACTGTGGTACAAAAGGTCGGTTAATAGTTAAAAACAGAGAACTACATTGCTACTAACATCAGCAAGCAAGCTTACCTTTGCCAACAATCAGTTATTATTTGTGCAACCATTGGATTGACCTCTTCAGGTATGTCAAGACGTCTATTTTGGAAACCCACTGCTCCAACCACTTGCATTGGGTTCATTCCACTCCATGGCATGCGCAAGGTAGCTAATTCCCACAGGATTACACCAAAACTGTAAACATCACATCTGATACATACAGATGTTTCTTATTACCAAGAGGTTCCCAAATATTGTAGAATTCTGCAGTGTTTTGAAATCTGAATGATCCACTTACTTCTCGTTTGATGGTTCATTTCGTAATACCTCCGGCGCCATCCACTCCGGCTGTACGAGTACAAATATCAGAAACTTGGTACATGATAAGTAAAAATCAACTAATATGATGAAGCTAAGATGCAGTGTTTTTTGATGAATTATTAATTAAAACTTAACATAAAAATACAACCAAAGAAAAGTAACAAGACACGAAGCTGCACAAACACAAAAAAAATAACAGAAAACATAAAATAATAACTAAGTACTTAGACCTGAAGGCCAATACAACCTGATGAAAATGAAGCAAATTTGATATAGGATAAAATAAACACTTTAAATAACTAATGAAAACAGATAAAATAGAAAATAGGACATTGGCTAATGTTAGAAGCTGAGATAGTGTACATGTATCATGAAAATAACATATGCAGCCTGGACAACTTGATGTAAGAAACAAGAAATGTGGCTCAACAATGAGAAATCAGCATGAGAATTGAGAAAGGGCAAGAAATCAACAAGCGTCAGGTGAGTCAGACTCTTGGGTCATGCCTGCATCATGTATTGGGTTTTCCGTATAGAGTACCCTATTTCTACCTTTTCAGTAATCCTTAGAACTGGAGATGTTGTCAGGTAGGATTACCTAGGATAAAATTCTGATGAGCTTATAAGTACAAAATGTGGATCCATACTCGATATTTTGTGTCAGGTATCAGATTTATATGCATTTGTTGGTACATATTTCAGATCCATGCTTGATTTTAATAAGGTTAATGTATCCAAAATGAGGATCCATACCAAAAAATGGGACTAGGTTCCAGGTTATCAGGCTCCATTAACAACCGTGCTTAGAATTTAAAACTTCAAAAGAAACTTGTATACGAGCTTTAAATTCAGGATTCACAAACCAAGGGGGAATTGCAAAAAGTGAACCAATTATTGGTAAAGATGAACAAAAACTGCAGTAGATAACAGAAATATTACTGAAGTAAATAATGGAATAAGAAATTTACTGTTCCGGCGGTGGACTTGGATGACAAGAAGGTGTGATGCTTCAATCTTGACAAGCCAAAATCACTGACCTGAGACAAAATCGAGTGTAAAGTTGTATACTTCAGAAAGAATGTAAAACAATTTTGATATACACTATGTGATTTTGCATGTTCTACAGCACAGGAAACAGCAGTACTGCAACCAAAATAAACAGCTCTTCTTCAGATCCAATTAACAAGTTTACTTCCATCATCAATGATGTCTCAATTTGCTTTAACCTTATGTAGCTAATAT